TGGGGTCCAGACTTTGTCCCTGAGGACCAGTGGGTCCAGACTTTGTCCCTGAGGACCAGTGGGGTCCAGACTTTGTCCCTGAGGACCAGTGGGTCCAGACTTTGTCCCTGAGGACCAGTGGGGTCCAGACTTTGTCCCTGAGGACCAGTGGGTCCGGACTTTGTCCCTGAGGACCAGTGGGGTCCAGACTTTGTCCCTGAGGACCAGTGGGTCCAGACTTTGTCCCTGAGGACCAGTGGGTCCAGACTTTGTCCCTGAGGACCAGTGGGGTCCAGACTTTGTCCCTGAGGACCAGTGGGGTCCAGACTTTGTCCCTGAGGACCAGAGGGTCCTCCCCAGGCTGTGTGGTGTCATCAGTGTACAACACTTTGTCCAGTGGTGCTGCCTTTAAACTGATTTATAACACAAAGGGTCATTGTGTGATTATTGTTAAATGTGATGTTTTATTGAAACAGAGGCAGCAGAGCAGCTCTCCTCCTCCTCCTCCTCCTCCTCCTCCTCCTCCTCCTCACACAGGTTTTACAGTAAAGCCTTCATCTTCTCTCTTCAAACAGCTAAAGCTTGTTTATGTTTTCTCTATAAACCATGCAGATGATGTCATTATCTCCTCAGACTGGACTTGTGAAGTGAAACTTTTTATCTGGATCCACAGAAGTGATCAGTCACCTGCTGCTTATCAGAGTTCAGAGCAGCTGAAGCTGCAGGACCATCAATACGTCCCTGCACCTGTCCCTGCAGCTGTCCCTGCACCTGTCCCTGCACCTGTCCCTGCAGCTGTCCCTGCACCTGTCCCTGCACCTGTCCCTGCAGCTGTCCCTGCAGCTGTCCCTGCACCTGTCCCTGCAGCTGTCCCTGCAGCTGTCCCTGCACCTGTCTCTGCACCTGTCTCTGCACGTCCACAACAGGACATTTATTTTACCTGAGACCAGGTACAGAGACCAGATACAGAGACCAGATATAGAGACCAGGTACAGGGACCAAGTACAGAGACCAGGTACAGGGACCAGGTACAGAGACCAGGTACAGAGACCAGGTACAGAGACCAGGTACAGAGACCAGGTACAGGACCATGAATAAATCTGGAGGCTCTGGTGGTTCTGGTTCAGGCAGGCCTGTCTCAGTCCTCAGGACAGCTGTGTCTGCAGGTTTAACCTCCTCTGTCGTCTCTTGCAGATATCAAAGACTCTCTGATGCAGGCGCTGGCCAGCTATGTCTGCTACCCACAATCCCTCAGGGCGGTGGAGAGGATCCCAGAGGAGCAGTAAGTCTTTGGCTCAGTGAGTCCAGAGTCCTGATCTGGACCTGTTGGATCTGGGAGCTGCTGTATGTCAGGAAGACCACAGATCATTTCAGCCGACCTGGATGTTCTGGTTCTTCCTGAAACTGGTTAAAGTTTCTAAGTGTTTTTATTGGAAGTGATCTCTCAGTGCATTGTGGGTAATTACATCATCTGACCTGGTGCCAGAGGGCCTTAAAGCTCTCACAGGTTCATGGGTTTCAGGGATCAGAAAAACCAGCACCAGGTCCTGAGCCAGGTCCAGGTCCAGGTTCAGGTCCTCCTGCAGTGGTCTGTGTTGGTGTCTCCTTTCAGGCGAGTGGCGATGATGAGGAACCTTCTGGCTCCATACGAGCAGAGACCCTGGGCTCAGACCAACTGGATTCTGGTCCGACTGTGGAGGGTGAGCTCACACACACATTTATCTGTGTGTTTGCCTCTTGTGACCCTGAGAGTCCAGTCTTCAGTCCAGCCCTGGACCCTGGTCAGAGAGTTCAGACTGCTCCCTCCTCTTCCTCTCTAACATCTTCCTCCCTCTCAGGGCTGTGGCTTTGGCTACAGATACACTCGTCTTCCTCACCTGCTGAAGACCAAACCTGAAGATGCCAACCTGCCCAGCCTGCAGAGTGAGTACCAGTCTGGACCATAGAACAGGTTCTGGTCCAGTCTTTGCTCAGAGAAATGGAATCCAGAATCAGACAAGCCTTCTAACCTTAGAAATGTTAGAGTGATGTCACTACAACACTTCCAAACAACTCATAGAAACACTTTGTTTCAGCTTAGAAACATCTCCAAACTTAGAACTGTTCCCACAGGTGATTTAGAGTTGATCACTCATGCTTTTGTGTCCTCTTCTTTAGACTATTGTAATGTCCTTTTGTCCTGTCTTAATAAGAAGGACTTGTCCCGTTGACAGCAGCCAAGGTGTTGACCTGCACCACCAGAAGGATTCACATTACCCCCAGTTAAAATCCCTCCACTGGCTCCCAGTGGCTTTTGTTTTAAGTTTAAAAGCCTGGTCCTAACGTTTGAAGTTCTCCATGGTCAGGCTCCATTATATTTTAAAGTCCTGTTGTGTCTGTGTTTACCCTGTCGAGGGCTGAGGTCATCACATCAGAATGGTCTAACTTCACTCACTTTAAGTCTAGAGGTGATGGCTCCTTCCAGGCCGTCGCTCCAAGGCTCTGGATCTTCTGCTGTCTATACGTTCAGTTGATTCTGTGGCAAACTGAAAACTTTCATCTTTAGAACAATTCCAGTGTGTGATCTGTTCCTTACCTGTGTTTTATGATGTTCTTCATGTTTTATTGTTTTATTTTTCTGTGTAACTTTTGCTTTTTGTAAAGCGCTTTGTGACTCTCTATGTCTGTGAGACGTGCTTTATAAAGAAACTTTTACTTCCTTTTCTTACTTACAAAGAATCTGCTGTGTGGTGGATCAGGTTCTAGTTCTAGAGGAGGATCAGGTTCTAGTTGTAGAGGAGGATCAGGTTCTAGTTGTAGAGGTGGATCAGGTTCTAGTTGGATGTAGAGGCCTTCAACCGTTAAAACATCTGCTTGGCTCATGGTCCTGTTGGTCCACCATGTGGAGCTGCCTGAACCCTTGCTGATACAAAGCTCCTCCCTGGAGCTCAGTCTGTAGTCGAGCCCCCGCCCCACAAAGCACCTCTTCCCTGAAGCATTGTGAAGCCGTGCTGAAGTGGGAGCGTCAGAAATGGTAGGAGGTTCTTAGGGGTGAGTTTGCAGGCAGTTGTACTGTGATTTAAAGTCACTTATTTTTAGTTTGAAGACTTTTAGAGCAGCTGAAGTTAACAGTTGGTTAAAGTGGTTTGAATGGATTCAGTTTGTGATTTTTTAAAAGAACCTGCAGCTTTAAGCCTCTGCTGCTTCTGCTCATGAAAGGTTTTATTTCTGGCAGCAGATCTAAACTTAGAACAGTTCTGTCTTTGTTCTCTGGACGTCTAAATATGAATGTAAGTGTTGTGCTTCTGTCACACATGAAACCATGAGAAACAGCAGAACTTACACAGGTTCTTACAGGCTCTTAAAACGTCTCAAAAAGGTCTAATATTAGAAAATCTACATTTTAGGCCTAAAAAAGTCTGAAAAACACCCAGACTTTCATCCAAGGTCTTAAATTTAATTTTGTCAGGTCTTAAGTTTTTTTTACTTTCAGTCATTCCCAGAAGCACTGGCTGCATAAAGTAATCAGAGGCTGACCTGATCTGTCTTCATGTCTTTGACCTGGTTAAACCAGTGATCCTGTGAGAACTGCAGGTAGAAACTGTCTCATGTTTCCTGCTCCCAGCCTCCTGCACACAGCAGCTGTTCATCTGTCCCAAAACAGAAGCTGACCTCATGTCTACGGCTGCAACTAATGATTATTTAATGATCCATTAATCTGTCCATCATTATTTTGATTAATGGATTAATCAGCCAAATCATTAAAATGCTTCATTACATGAATGTGAGTTGATATAAATGAATTTCATTCCTGTACAAATTACAGATGCAAGTTATTGATTGATTAATTAATCAGAAGTTGATTTATCTTATAGATTGACCAACAAATAATTAATAAGCAGACATTTTCTTAAAAACAGAGTTTTCTCTTGAATCAAATATTTTAACTCTTTATTTTACCAGTTGTATTAAATACTGACTGAAAAAAGTGTATTTCTCCTACATGAAACATCACAGAAATTTAAACCTTTAGGTTGTTGAATGAAGAAAGTAGATTAAAATAATAAAATATGATTTTTACATGTAAAACTGTTATTAATTTATTATAATTAGAATTTATTTACATTTAATATTTATTATTTTTATCTAATTCTTTACTTTTTGCTTCATTGTTGTTGGTTCTGTTTGACTAAAACTGTGTTCTGACCCAGTAAACGGTTCTGAAGCAGCCCCACTCCTCCTCCCCAGACCTGTGCTGCTCAATCGGGTCTTTTTTTTTGTTTGTTTTTCCTTCGTCCTGAACCTAAATGCTGCTCAACAAATAACTTTGAGCCTCAGTCAGAAAAAACTGGAGGGTTTTTATACTTTTGGCCCGAAAGGAAGAGGAAACAAATGGTGGATTCAGGTGCGCCCCCCACCCCACCCCCATACGCGTTTACTCCTCGCGACGCGGCTCGCATCAAATCAGACCATCTTTTTAAAAAAATTAAATATAGCATATTTTTTATTATAACTTAGGAGCTACTTGGCCTAATAACACAACTTAAAAACTGCTTTAAAGTCTCTACTTTTCACTCAAGTCTCAGATTGGGCGCATCTTTACAGGTAGAGTTTTTCTTTCTTTCTAAACTTTATTTAGCTCAGCCAGCATTGACAACGCTCTGCGGGTGACG